TTTTTCGAATAAACTCTGGAAATTCATTTGTCCAACTCTGCATTTACTTATAACAGACTCCTCCTTCCTCATTTTTTGTGTCTACTACTTCAAAAGTATGCGCTGACAGGTTTTACATTAGCGTTTGACCGTCGTTTCTAATGCGGTTCACCATGTGTTCCATAGCGCGGTAGGCGCAGAAGCGATGACGTCTGCAGGAATTCGCTTATAGTGGCAGCAGATTTGAGCAGCATTCAGACCATTCCTGCCTCTTTCGTCACCTGGGCCCAATGTCAGGGCAAGGGGAAGAAAATTGTCGATGTGACGGTGCACAGGTGGCTTGAACGACATGAGCCGGCACCTGCACGTCCAACACCGCATTCCATGCGCTAAATATGTTTATGATTACTTTCCACTACTATCTTCTACCATGCTTGGATATGGCACAAGGTTTCTGCAGCGAATACCCCACGTAGTTTGTTCAGAGCGCCTAGTCGCTTTGACAACAATGCTGGATTAACCTCAACACTTATCGATTTTTCAATTTGATTTATTTTCCACGCCGCTACAGCTCAGTTTGCCTTGAGCCAGTCACAGGAAGTGGGCAAAGTAAGCGAGTTTTTGGCCGTTTTTAAATGCTTATTTAAGTTGGTACTGTTTTTGGACTCTAGGTATTTTTGATTTGTTAGCAATTACTCCGCTTTGACCGTTTTTATGAGAAAATTTAGAGTTGGAATCCTTTGGAATTACGCTTCATCAAAACCATCCAAGGCAGCGAATACAAATTACGTGTGAAATTAGCTGCACTTAGGGGAATGCAGAAAGCGTTAGATATTCAATACCATCCCTAAAAAATCTTGAAATTCTTATTCTACTATTTGCTAAAAAGAACGTGTTGCCGAACGCATAACACTTATTATGAGCAATTAATCCATTAAAATAGCCTTGAGATGTGTTCGTGTGCCCTTAGGCAGTAGACATTTAAACGTACCGCCGACGTCATAGGTTAATAATCCCTTGTAGATGTAGCTGCCTACGGCATTAACCATATCGCTAGTTCTACGATGTATAGTCAAGACAGCGTTACTGCTTGCTTCCCCTTGATAAATGTTGTTGGTAGACTTACAATACAGACTGAACTCGTTGTCAAAACCGTACGATAGATTCAAACTTGCGACTGAGTGTGACCATTGGTGTTAAACCATGGTGCGATATTGACTTTATTTGAAGGCTCTTTCTGGCCCTGGGCTGTTTTTCTTTCGAATTTTTTGATGTATTTCACACGCTACCAAACGCAATGTACTTCGAAATGATACAAACGTGGAAAATATTTTCGCTTATACTCATTCAAAGGGTTTCGCTGCAGAAGAAATCCATGTGTCACGGCTGTTTGGACTAGTCCATTTACCTTCAAACAGAGATGGCACTGATGGTTGCCAAAAACCAGAGAAAATGTGATGAAGACTGAAACGCCATATTTCAGTGTAGATCAGACCTCATGAGAAAGGTGTAAACTGAGCTTTAAATGACTGCTTTAGTTGAAATTCCGTAGTTTGGTACGTTGAGGCGATTCCTTATTGTCGTACTGTTGATCATTTATCATGAAAGCTTCGGAAGAATGTCGACTAAGAACCCATAAGCATTTTTATCTATCGCAAAAGGGTACGCGTCTTTCCTTGGTTTATATGCAAAAGTCAATTTCCTTTACATAATAGGACGGCCTATAGTCAAATGTAGCCAAAGGAGTCTGGTATGCGTGCTCCTGTGCTGAACCGACACACGAAAAGTTGGTTGCAATTGTCGGCAAGTGCAAAAATCAGCGTCAACCATTTTGGAGCTAAAACCATTCTTTACTTTAATAAGCTTAATTTTCAAATCCTATCCGCTGGACTGCTTAGTTTTTTTTCACTTTAGCCTAGCCTACGGTAAATGGAAACCCTCGCATTTTATTGTGCTATCTACTGCGTTCATGTTGGTTGGGTCACAATTTACTACTACCTGTGCCCTGAACAGGTTATTCTTTCTGTTACAATCTTGCAATCCAAAATGATCGCCTGACTCACTTTGACAGTCCGAACTTGACTTCAAAGTGAAGTATCAGTTTAATGGAGGTCTTCCATTAGTGGGGCGTTCTTACTTTTTCGACAATAATCTG